GAAGAAATCACAATAGAAGATAAATTTAGTTGAAATGTTACTAGTCATATAGTCACTTGGCAGTTAAATTAAGGAATTCAATCTAGAATAGTTTAGACAGAAGATAATTAAGCGTATGCTTAGACATTTGTAAATGAACATCATAAAAAATGAATGTGGAGAGCATTACACTAACTGAAATAACCCAGTTAGAGCAAGTACCATATGATTTCACTCAAATATGGAATCTAATGGACAAAATAAACTAAGAAACAAAATAGAAACAGACTCATAAGTAGAGAACAGACTGGCAGCTGTCAGAGGGAAGTGAGGTTATGGGGCTGGATGAAAATGGTGAAGGAATTAAGCAAAAACAAAACAAAACTTATAAACAAACAAAAAAGAACTCAATGGAGATGTAACTATTATTACTAGTATAACCCCTGGTGTGATTTAAGTTTCAGTCTCCTTCTCTAAGGTGGCAGAAACCATTCTTTGATGTGTAGTATGTCTAACCTATAGTATAGTGCTTTGCAAAAAATTGGGTCATAAGGTTTTTCAATTAAAACATGAAGGCAATTTTATTCTTTAAAAAATGAATGTAGGTGAGAATGAAAACATTATGAAAATGAAACACATTCTACTAGTTATAAAATATTTGACCTTGCTATGTGAGCCACATCCACAATACAAAATTTACATGTCATTTATTTTCCAAATAAAATGACAACTGGGTGATGCCAAAAAGTATAAATTGCTATAGAAATATTTTTATGAATTAATAACTGAAAAAATGATAAATTAGAAAAATCCTTTTAAACTCATTCATTCTTGGAACTTCGACCATTCAATTAATTAGTCATTGAAAGAATTGCTTTCTGTCAAATTGCTATTGGGTAATTAATTTTTTGCTTAACTTGTCTGTTTTCATGGAGGACATTACATTCTACAGGTGTTCAGGCTTTCTTAAGCTGAAAGCTTTGTCTCTGTGAGTTCTATTCCCATTTCTGAGTTCTAAGTTATATTCATAATGATATGATGTCAATGACTATATCGGTTTGTTCACTCATCTATATATATAATAGAGAAATATGCTAATTAATCGGGACGCGGTAATGGGTTGACCCGACAGGAGGAGGTTGCGTGCGCAGCGTCAGGGGCGGGGTGGCAGGGGCCTCCACGCACCTGCGCTGGGGGAGGGCCTGATTAGCAGCATCTGCAGCTGCTTCAAGGGCAGGAGATGGAGGCAGGGGTTGACTGGCAGCAGCCGCGACTGCTGCGGGGCCTGGGAAGCGAGGCAGGGCCAAACCGGAGGGTGGGTGATGCCGCGCGATTTTGAATCACGTGCTGGGCTCCCAGTATGTTATATAATATATAATCTATAGCATAAAATATAAACAATATTTTCATAAAGTGTAGAACTATACGAAGCGGAAATTTTAGAAATTTATGTGATACTAGAAGCCCAGTGCACGAAATTGGTGCACAAGTAGGGTCGCTAAGCCTGGCCGGCGATCAGGGCCCATATGTGGGGTGACGGGCAGGGCAATTGGGGCCCCCACTCACACCCACCTTGGCCTGGTGCCACCCACTCACCAGCCCCGCCCCCCCACCGGTCGCCATCTGGGGACCCCACTCACACCTGCCTTGGCCTGGTGCCACCCACTCACCTGCTCCATCATCCTGCCAAAGTCCTGCTCTCATTGGGGCCCATCGAAGCCAGCAGCACCTCTCCTGCCACCCACTGCCAGCATTGCATCGCCAATGCCCGCCATGTTCCACACCGCCCCCTGGTAGTCAGTGCACGTCTAACTACTGGTTGGTCGAACTCCTAACCTTGGAACAACTTGCATATTAGCCTTTTATTATATAGGATTTTTAATTGTAAAATGTTTTTTGGGATACCACACACATTACATTGAAGAGTGTCTGGGATATTAAATGTCCAACAATGAATAAATTACCACAAAAATAAATGAAGAAAAAATTCTTGCCCCTACAAAACCTTTTATATTGCCAGTAATTCATGCAAGATGGAGTGTGGAGGGATACTTTATAGTATTTGAATCTATAACCAAACTATATTTATATACAGGGTAGGCCAAAAATGGGTTAAGAGTTGTACTAAAAATATAATAATTAATAAATAATATAAGAATAAACTGTTTTACATATAACTGTAAACCTACTTTTGCCCCATGCTGTATAGACAAAAGAATTTCTTCAGTCTTAATTTAAATTACATTTTCCAAAATAAGCCCAAAACTGGGATTTAATTTTAGGGAAGATTTTACTGTGTTGTTTGAAACTTTACCAAAAGAAAATTATATCACAGATAGCAATTACACTCTTATATAGTTATGCGAAGCATAATGAAGTTTCAGCCAGTGATGGACCGCATATATGATAGTAATATACCTCCCCTGAACACAGACAATAGTGTAATGAAGGCCTGGAGCAGGGGCAGGAGGGGAAAATGGGGGACATCTGTAATGCTGTCAAAAAATAGAAATATATTTTAAAAATAAGTTCAAGCATATTTACATTTAATGTGTTCAGATTACATTACATGGTTTTAAAAAATATGTTTTTATTGATTTTTAGAGAGAAAAGAAGAAAGAGGGATATAGAGATAGAAACATAGATGAGAAACATTAATCAGATGCCTCCTGCATGCCCCCTATTGGGGATCAAGCTCGCAAACCAGGCCTGTGCCCTGACCGGGAATTGAACCAGTGACCTCTTGGTTCATGGGTGGATGCTCAACCACTGACCCACACCAGCAGGACTATTACATGTTCTTCAACAATGAAAACAAGTAGCACAGCTCTCACTCAGTGCCAGCCCACTAATTACCTTCATAACAATGCCAACAAATTTTAATGTTATTATTACTCCAATTTTTAAAATACAGGAACGTAATCAGAAAGAATAACTTTCCCAAGGTCACACAACTAGTAGAAACAGAGTATATTCTAGAACTTAGGTGGTCTGGTTCCACATCTGATTTCTTAGCCACCATACTACCTCTCTCTAAATTATTTGAAGGGAACTACCTTGCTTAATATATTTGAAAAAATATAAAGACACAATGTGAGGTAACAAATCATTTATTTTTTGACAGCATTTATAATCATGCTATTTAATGTGGTAACTGCTAGCCATATGTAACATAGAGCACATATAGCAAGCCCTGCCTGAATTTTGATGTGCTTTGACTGTAAAATACACCTTGAGTTTTGAAGATGTACAATGGGAAAAAAAATAAGTAACACATCTCATTAATGTTTTGCATTGGTCATATGATAAAATTGTAATTTTGGAAATATATGTTAAATAAAATGTTATTAATTTAAAAAATGGAAATGAAAATCTGAGTTATATTTATTTCTATTATACTAGTTAGGCATGTTTTCTGAAAATGGTTCTTGAAAATACTGTGTTGTAAGCATTTATTAAAATTAGATTATGATCACTCTACAGATCCCCATTTGTACAAAGATAATGTTGCAAGGTTTACATTTTGAACAACGTGAAAGAAAGATTCAAGATGAAGAAAACAGCATGGCAGTTTCAATTTTTCTTCAGTGAAACATTAATTAAAAAATTAATTTAATTAACTTTTAAGAATTTATGAGAACTACATTAGAGTTATGAAACTTGAATCAACCACTACAGTTTTTAATTTGGAACTTTACCATCAACCCATTAGACTCATTGATCCCGTTGGATTCACAAGTAAAAAGAGCTGTACCTGACTTAAATTAGCTTTCTATTTTCTCTGAAAATAACAAAAATAAGAATGTAGTGCTCAAATAAAATTGACCCCATGAAAATCTCATAAGGTTTATCAGGAGACATTCTTAGCCACATTCAACAGTATTCAACAGCCCTTGTACAGGTCCTTTTATATAATAATCAATAGATGCATAGAGAATTGATACCGATTCACTTATTTCAAGCCAGCCAGAAAAACAGATCAATAAATCACGAACTTTTCTTTGCTTCTTCTCTCAATGTTAGCAAAACAATTATTCTAACAACTAAGCCAGCAGCCACTATTGTGATAAAGTTGTTTCTGAGGTCAGAATGTTCTGAGATTGAGAAAGATCCCAGAGTTCATTTATTTATTTTCAAGTAAGAAGTGAGACAAGATTCTAACTGATATTCTTGCACTCTCTGCTAATACTGAATATCAGGATATCATGCACATATCCATCAAGAAAAATTATGGTAATTACCAGGGGAAAATAAGGTATTTGTGTCACTTATTACTTCTGTCAAATATACTATAATAGTAACAGAATTCCTTTTATGTCGATTATCTATAATCTACATAAATTAATGTAATTTAATAACCAGTCATAATTAATTTTCATAGCTTCTGAATCTAGTATAATAGTACTAGAGGCCCAGTGCATGACATTCGTGCACTGAGTGGGGGTGGGGTGGGAGGGTCCCTCAGTCCGGCCTGCTCCCTCTTGCAGTCTGGGACCCGTTGGGGGATATCTGACTGCCACGGAGGCGGGCTGCACTTGCCTGCAGTGAGCCCAGCTTCTGGCTGAGCGACGTTCCCCCTGTGGGAGCACAGTGATCACCAGGGGGCAGCTCCTGTGTTGAGAGTCTGCCCCCTTGTGGTCAGTGCATGTCATAGCAACCAGTCATTCTGCTGTTCAGTCAATTTGCATATTAGCCTTTTATTATATAGGATAGGAATTTTTTGCTGAAAAAGAGGGTACTACAAATAAATAAAATATAGCTTGTTTTCAATAAATATTTAATTAAGAAAGCCATTTCATTTCTATGAGGCTCTCTTACCATAATTTTAAAAGATGATGCTTGCTTAAATAATCTCTAATTTTTTCTCCTTTTAATAAACTATATATCTCTGTGAATAAGTAAACTCAGATTATATTGTAGTATAATTCAGTTGATTCTTGGTCTGTTGATCAAAACTTCTAGATTAAATGAATGGATATTTGTTCATTCTTTTGGAGGAAGACATATAAAAAATGATTATTGTGCTCACTTCGGGAGCACATATACTAAAATTGGGACAATACAGATAAGATTAGCATGGCCCCTACACAAGGATGACATGCAAATCCATGAAGTGCTCCATATTTTATGAAAAAGAAAAGAATAGGATGATTATCAAATTGGCAAGAGAGACAAAACTTTGACAGATGGTTTAAAAAAAACATATTGGAAATAAGAATCTATGTGACCTTTTCGTCAAAACCACAATTGAAAAGTACCATATTCATAATCAATGATGAATTTCTTACGGTGAAAGGAAAATCTAGATAACAAAAAATGATTTACAAAAGGGCTAGAGGTTATAGTAAACAAGTTCAATACTCATTAAAGGTGTGATGAGTCTAAAAGAACAAACACAGGCTTAAGGTGTACTTGTGACTATGCAATAGCTGGTTTAATGTAAACAATAGAGCCTTTATTCTCTATGCTAAAGAGATAATTTCCAAAGACTGTTTAGAGTGTCAGACTTCAGAACTAAAGAGAACTGGAGGAAATTAAAATAACTGAAGTAGGTGGTAAATGTCATAAGAAATATAGACATGGTTATGGATTTCAGCGCAACATCTTGCCAGACTTTTTATTTGTTCACATTTTTCTTTAATGAAATACATTAGTTTTTGGAGTACTTAATAACAGTTTTCAAGATGAAATGCTATAACACCCCATTAGCAGTGTTTAAAGAAAATTTATGCAAGCAAAATATGGACTAGAAGACCAATGAGATTCTCCCAAATCTGATTCAAACGAAGGCTGAAGATAAATGTTTATGAATCTAGTATAATGAAAGTAAAATTGCCCTCCATCTGAGTATTGTGCAGTGCAAAACATTCATTTTTTTTAAATGCAGTATCCAGGCCACTTAGGAATATGGGCTGAGTTAGAACACAACATATTCATTTAACTCATCCAAATAAGAGACATGGTTATGACCTCCCTTCTACTCACTCCATGAAACATATTTAGTTGAAGTGAGAATAGCTATACCTCTCTTACTCATTTGTCAAGAGTATCATCCCTTTACTTGTTGGGTGTAGTTAAATGATGTCATAAGAGAAGGGGAAAAAAAAGGAGTTTCTATTATTCTCAAGGTCTAGATATCTTCTGAGTATTGTCCCTGACTCAAATTAATATAAGTAATTCTAGTCACCTAGTGGGCAAAATTAAAAGTTTTTACTCAACTACAGAAAGGCTTTGGGTTGTTTTTCCATTTTAGGATTGGAATCCTAGAGGATATTTTTTCCCTTTGCTTCTGCCTGAATATTTTCCTTGTGTTAAAAATATACCAAATTATTTGCTTAAGTTCCCAATTGTGAGAAAAAGGTTATGTATATGAATATGTGACCTATTTATAATTGGAAGTAGTCTCCTATGATTTAGTCTCTCTTGCGATTACTGACATAATAAAACAAGTCTTTACAGGAATGTTGTGATGCTGACCTAAGTTTCAAAACAATCTTGCAAATAATGTCTCTGATTATCTTTGTGGCAATCATATTGATAAAATTCTATTTTTGTCCAAAGATGCAAGCCTATTTTTGTGTGTATTCATTTTTGTTGATATTTTACATAGAAAAATGGCCTGGATGTTTTTTATTTCTCTGATTTTAGTTTTCTTGATAACTTCACATTAAGCAAATAAATTGGTTTAATGCAAAGTAATATTATTACAGGAACTGTTCCAAGAATGTCTGTGAAATTGCATTTCAATACCCATTAGATATGGTTCTTCTTCTCCACAAACCTCTTTCCATTATTGAAGATGTAATTCTCCAGCATTAAACAAAGGACATATTTAAAATAAAGCTTGCTTTTCGGTCACAGAGCTACAGCTACCTCAAATAAGTACCGGAGTCCAACTAAAGAGAAGTGAACGCTTCAGCTTGACCCACTGACAATTTAAATTATGTCCTTCCTATTTTGAAAGTTTCACTAGGGAACATAAGACTTGAGTTGAAACATGTGGGAATGTGGTTTGGAGTGGCTGACAAGAAAGTGTTAGGGAGACGGGGAAAAGGGTTGGCCTCCAGGAGATAGAAGGGATGGATAGACCAGTTACTAGGGAAACCCTTTCTCTGATGTCTGCCTGTGAGGATATAAGCAAAAATGGGGAAGGTTGTGTTGCTATGGAAAGTAGCGTGATACAGAATCACTGCCCCAGCAACCCAATAGAGAGGGGCCTTGCCTCAGAGACCTTGGCATGGGCCCAGCTCCAGAGAGGTTCTATCAACTCACAAGAGCTTGGATGGTGACTAAGAAGCAAATGGCCCCAAAGTGGCTTCAGGGAGAACCTAGTGTATGAATCCTTTTAGCAGTTTTGTTAAAATACATACATTCAGAAGCAGGAGGTGCAACGCTATTATAATACAGGCCTATCGGCATATGACATTTATCTCCAGGAAAGAATGAATTTTAATTATCTGATATGATAGCGGCATATGCAGACTACATGTATATATAATGGGAGCAGGGGAGAGGACCCCCATATTCAGTAATTATAAACATTCATATTTAATTAGATGGTCTTCCCATGGCTCAGTTTTCTCTGCTCCAAAACAGCACTTTCACTATGATGGCTAATATGCCAGCTGAAACAAGAAATGTGAGTTAAAGGCAGATGAAATTTATCAAAAACATATTCCTAGTGGCATAGAGGTTCTGGAAAGGAAATATATTCAATTTAGTACACAAGGATTGAGGTTTACCTGATTTAATATTATCTACCTGCAACTGGGTAGTAATTTCTTAGGGAAAAGTTATGTAGCGTGTACCAAAGAGAAAGTTAGCAACTACCTATAGAAACTAGCTCTCAAAAGCCTGGAGGGGGAGGCTTTCTCAAACTTGAAGGAACAACAATGGCAGACTTGGTTGAGTAATTAAAAAGTTTTATCCACGTGCCCTCATCTCTACATGAAATATCTAAAAGAAACAGTACATTACCTGGGAGAGAAAATTGCATAATTTTTAAGGCTCATGCAAAATATGGCATAGCATCAAAAGCGATAGATGTTTTCAGATGTATAGATGCCCATCTAAGAAGTCCTTTAAAATGGGGTTGAAAATTATAGAATTATTTTAAGAAAGGTCCATCAGGGATATACGTCTGTCGCATGTATCAGCAGTCTTCTTCTGCTTTCTAGTTGCTCAGTGATTACTCCAAATGCCCCTGATTTATGTAGGTGCACAGTTTTCACAGAATTTCAGTGTTATGGTCCAGTTGCCTTAAGATAATGAAAACCTTATAACTCAGCCACATAGGGTGTTGATTTTACTACTAGAGTTGGATTTTGACAATCCCACTTCTACCTTCAAAATACACAGCCATTGACTCGGGAGAAAATAGTCCTACTGGAACCCAGGGCAATACCACCCACCAGACAAGATATTGGGATCTCAGAGAGTGGAGGAGTAAAGACTCCCTATCACCCGGAGGAACAGTGAATAAGTTGAAGACGCGTGCCATTTCTGAATTTAAATATGTAGCCATGCGCATTCGTTAGATCAGTGCTACTGTGGTCTCAGATAAACACCCAAATATCAGTGGTTTAAAACATATAAAACTCATTTCTTGTTCTAATAAAGTCCTAAATTTATAGTTATGTTCTAGAAGTGGCTTATATCAGATTACAAGGGTCAAGTAGTAAATTTTCATGAATTGTGTGAGCCAATTGTTAATCATAGTCACTGTTAAATAATAATTACACTTACAATTAAATAAATTCTATTGAAAACAATGCAGCAATGATCATAACTCATCCCATCCTAAAAATTTTATTACATTTTACTATTACCTATGCTCTAGATGTTAACTTCTATTATATCTATATGCTAAAGATTCCATCATATGCAGTGTAGTTTGCACATTTCATTATAACTCTTCCTAACTCTGTGTTCAGTACTGAGATCTTCCAATATCACTTTGTGTGTAATCTACATACACCCCAACAATTAAGTCAATATTATAATTTAATTTTCAGTTAGCAATATCACATTCTTTTTTATTCCCACATTAGTTAGAATAACACCAGCTACAGTAATAAATATACCACAGAACATCAGTGTCTTCATACATTAGAACTATAGTTCCTGCTCATGTAAATTCATAAGTTGCCGTTACTAATCAATAAGTTGTTTTCCCCAAAATGACTCCTTTCATATTGGGGCTCAACCATCTTTGATATTTGGTTTCCAGATGTTCCCCAGAGATCATTTTCCATCATATCCAGCCAGATTGGGAAAAAAGCAATGATGATTACATGCCAAGGGTCTATATTCCTTGCCTAGGATGTCACACATCACTTTTGCTATCTTTCTATTGACTAGAACTTAGGAACATGTCAAATTTAACTTTAAGGGATTATGGGAAATAAAAACTGTGTGCATAGTTAGAAGAGAACTCAGTTCTGATGAAAAGCTAGCAAATGTCTGCACCCTTAAATGTGAAAATGCAATCACTGCTGTTCAGTCTGTTAGATTCAATCTTTCAAGCATTTCTCATCTTATGCTCATCAAGCCAACTGAAATAGGCATGGCGTGGTATAAATACAATCCTCATTGTTCATTAAAGTTGAGCCCAGAGGGTAAAGTGACTAGCAACAAAGTTTAACTGACAGAAGCAGAAGTGCCTTGGCTGTGTTCATAAACATACTATTTAGTTACAACGTATGTACTCTGCCTCAGTTTATCACCCCCCTCCTTAACCAAGGATGATGGGAATAACCTTAGTATATCCATTGACATCAAGAGCTATGCTTGGATAATGACTATCCTGTATATCTTAGGCTAAAATTATTCAATGTGGTTTTGCAGGACAAGCTCTCAGTACGCAAGGTGATGGGAGAAATAAGTCAGAACAATGTAAGTGTAATTTTTCCCCAAGTCTTCAATTTTAAAATATTTGGAAAATGTTATTATATCTTAAATCTATATTTTACACTAGCAATCATAGGCCCTTTACCAGTCTCTTATGACACCAGTTCCTAAGCCTTTACCTTCTTCAATCACTTCTGAAAATATGGTACCTAGAAAAAAAATTTAATTTCTCCAGTGTGCTCTGAACTGCTCAGGAATGCTTCCCATCATGGGATTTGC